AAAAAAAAAAAAAAAAAAAAATCAATTGTATTTCTATATTCTGGCAATGAATACATGGACACCAAAATTAAAAATACCATTATAATTGCTAGGAAATATTTAGGTGTAAACATAACAAAACATGTATAGGACTTGTATGCTGAAAACTAGGAGAATGAAAGGAAAGAGAAGAAGAGAGTGGTTAGTGGAAGGATAATGTTGTAAGTTGTTTACATTTACTTGAAGTGATATATTATTATTTCAAGATAGACTGTGAAAGATTAAAGATGCATATTCATATTGTAAACCCGAAAGGAATCACCAAAAACAAAAACAGAAAGTGTAGCTAATAAACTGACAATGGAGATGAAATAGAACCATAAGAAAATACTGAATCCTCCAAATCATGAGGAATGCTATAAATGGCAAAAAACTAAAAACAGGCAAATGCTCCCATTTGCAAAAAGGAAAACAACATACTTCTGTAAGCCAGATCAAGGAGCGTGATGTCTATTTAGTGAAATGTTTTAGTTATCAAGAGATGTCAAGGTACATACATTAAATACATATTAAAACAAATCATCTCATATAAATTTGACTTCCTTCTTTGCAGAAGATTTGGCAGACCAAGTGTATTTTATTTCAGCAAAGTACATGACAAGGTACCTCATGGAAATCCTTGGGACAAGCTGGGAAATATTCCAGACAATAAAAATGGAGAAAGATTTCAAATGTATACTGCTAGGCTCTTTGTTCAGAACTGTCCTGTTTATCATCTTAATGACTGACTTAGATGAAGACGTAGAAATAACTTTCATCCAATAAGCTGGTGATGTGATTCATAAAGCAATAATAAATAAATATATTGAACAACAGAATCCAGATTCAAAAAGATCCTAAGAGGTTAGACTATTAAGTTGAGCTTCGCAAGATGAACTATAATAGGGAAAATAGGCTTACATTTGGGCCCCAAATTCAAATGCACAAAATATAGAATGGAGGAGATATGGCTTACTAGCCCAAAAAAAGGACTTTGGGATATTTGAGAGTCAGCTCAACACGAATTAATTACATACAAAGAATATGGAGTGACTGCCAAAACACAACAGCATCTAATGAGAGAAGCCATGATACTGCTATATTCTAGTCATCCTACAATGCCCAGAGTATAGACAAACTGAAACCTGCTCAAATAGTAACCAGGTTCAAATGTAAAACAATTAAATAAACTTGATGGGCAGAGGAGGAACAGGTCTGGCCTGAGGAAAAAATGTTCACGGGTTACATACAATACAGCTGTCTTCAAATACATGAGGTGCTCTCATATACAAGGAAAATTAGACTTATTCTAAGTGGAACTAGGACTAACAAGTAGAATTTACAGAAAACAAATACAATTTCAATATAATAGTGGGAGTAATTCAAAGACAGAATGAGCTGCATTTAGAGTTGAGTTTCCCTCACTGGTGGACAGATGACAAATTGGCAGGAATGTAGTAGAGGGGAATAAAACATCAGATGGCTTGTTAGACTAGATGCCCTTTAAAGTGTCTTCCAACTCTAATTCTACAATTTTACTTTTTTAGACTTTCTCTATGCCAAACCTTTGGCTTCAGTCCAAATGGTTTTCTCACTGTCTCTGGAACAAACTGCATACATGTACTTTCCTGTATCCATACTTACTTCAGGCCATTCTCTCAGTCAGGCAAAGACGAAGGATATGTCCTTATAAATCTTATCCATCCATCAAGAATGAACCCCAAATACTGTCCTTAATAATGACTTCTGTACCTGCCTTAATCTATCTGATCTCTTTCTCCTCCGAATTATGCGACACTTCTCTGAACAACATTTTCACAAATAATTAAATGCCATCCTTAGACACTTCTTCTTGTCTTAATAAAAATTTAAATAACAGTTTAATAATTTCTCTCCTCAACCAAAGTAAAAGCTCCTTAAAGGCAGACACTGAAACTTATACTCTGTATCCCCTACACATCTAGGGACACATAGTAGATACTCAAAAATGGTCTTTGGTTTTCAATAATGAAAACATTTTTATTAGAACAGTTGTTTTATAAAGAGATAAGCTTTTACAAGTAAATGGAAAATTCACTGTTCAAATCTAGACACTAACTGATTTATAAGACTTCCTATTCAGATACAGAACTACCAGAATAAGATACTGCTACCCACTGATAACATATTCTAATCAGAAGACTTTTTTAAATAGTGAATCGAGCTTATAAAAGTTCAAATTTTCCAGTCTAAACATACAGCTTGGTAAATATCCCTTAAAATCTTTTTTTGAGCAAAGTAAGGTTAATAGAATCAAACTAAAGAGTGAAAAATGTTAGGAATAAACAACATTTTAGAAAAAACATCATTTTTATCTCTTTATATGTAAAATATATTGATATGTGATATGTAGATTAAAATTTTGATTCAGATACTTAGAAA